CAACGTAGTACATAAGAAAAGACAGCCCTGCTACAAGTGACTCGTGCCAGTTGACACTGAGTTTTCTGGATGTGGAAAGGTTATAGCCCTGAAAGAGACACGTGGGAAGCCAAAACTGGGTTTCCTGATGTTGAAAATGCCATTATGGAATACTTAAAGCCTTTGCTGTGGGGACTGTCAGCTGGGCTGCTCTCGGAGAGGATGCAGTAATTCAGTGACCGAATGTGTTCCCAGAGACTCCCAGCATCCATCTTAGATGGAGTCTCAAGTAAGAGGAGTTTTTTTGCTACTCCCTTTTGATTTCTGTCACCTTTTCTGGTGTTGTGCTGTCTGTAAGTCCTGAAGACAAGAACAGGAGAGGCCCCTGCACGGCGTTAAGGAGTTAACGTGAGAGTCGCAGCTCACTGGGGCATTATGAACAGAGATGGAGTTCCAGTTTGCCAGAATCATAGGAAAGGCCATTGATTTGTAGAAGGTTCTTTAATTTCCAAGTTCATATTGGAAAGGAGTTGTAAATCTGTTATTTAGTAGTGTAACCTGTCTCCTGGAAAAACACTTAATTTATCTGTGACAGGTGATTTTTTTTCTCTTCAGGTGGGGTAGTGCTGAGAACAGGAGAGCTAGGCTCAGTAGCTGCAGCTGAAGTGCAAGTATCATTTTAGGAAGAGAAGAACTACTTGAAGAATTTAGCATAAACTTTTAGAAACACTAAAAAAACCCCCAATGCTCAAAATAAGCCTAGGCAGAAGATAATAATGTAGTTCTACCTCATTGCCAGAAGTGGTGGGGAAAAAACGTGACTTGGGATTTATTAGTTCGATTGTCCATATTCCATGGGAGAGGGGCAACTGACGGTGCACGCCTCGGTCAGTCTTGCGCAGAGCAGGGTGAGAGCTGCTCAGAGAACGGCTGTCCCGTGGCTCAGATCATGCAAGCTGAAGTGTGGGCGTCCATTCAACGTGTAGATCTGAGAGTTGCTGACTCAGGGGAGAGGGGGAAGTTGCAGAGGTCAGTTTGCTGAGGTGAATTAGCGTGGAGGTGCCAGGGAAGGGAGAAAATGCGTTTGCCAAAGGTGAAGGCATAGAGCGACTGTTAACAGCATGAATCCAGTTACAGTACTCTAAATTTTGGCCAGTACATCACACCGAGGTATTACTTTTTCTTCCACAGAGGTCCCATTTAGTTCAGACTTTATCCCTAGAAACTTCTTGAACTTGATATTCAGCATCAATCTTTAAGCACATGATCTTAGACTTCTGGATGTGCTGAGGCTCCCGAATGCAGCCAGGTGGATTTACCACCCAGCTAGATTACAGAACTGTTAAAAGCACATGCAGACTTAAATATCAAGAAAGTGATCGACTAAAATAGTTTCCTGTACTATGTGGTGGAAGTTTTTCTGTAAGCAGCTGTACAAACATCACGCAGATCAGAGGTACTGATCAGAGACTGGGTGGGATGTGCCCGATCTCTCTCTGAGGATATTGCGACAGTGCTCTAGCCATCTTTTTCATGGGACTGTGAATGCTTTATTATTTTTTGTAGCTTAGAAATGTAACTTAAATCAAACAATTGTTTTGAAATTGCCGTTACAGCAGAACCAATGCAAATTAGAGTTTGCTTAAGGCAAAAACAAAGAGGGAGGACGTGTGGATATTAGTGGCAGTGCCCAGGAAATAACAGATTAGCACAGTCAAATCAAACACAGTGAGTAACCTGTAGCTGCTTTCACTTAACAGCAGAGGCAGTGGTGCCTCGTTCTTTCGTAACTGCTGGGGGGTGAAAATATTTGCCCAGTTATGGGGGAAGATGGAGAAGGGGAAGGGTGCTGAGGGGAGTGCTGAATTAAAGTTTCTCCGTGGGAAGCTGCTCTCTGCTGCTTTCCATTGCTGCTGAATTCATGGTGCAGGAGCACAGGGGTGCTGGAATAGTCTCCTGCTTCCCCAGTTAGTCCTGTAATCCTTTGTGCTGGGTGAGATTAAATTCTGAACCCCCAAGCAGCTGGAAATGCATAATTCAAGGCCATCAGTACCCATGTGAGTGGTGTGACCTCTACTCAGTGTTGCAGTCCATCTTTCTGCAGCATTTCTCAGTTACAGCTAAGAGGAATTCAGTCGCGTATGGCAATTTGGATGAGGAGCTTCTGAATGTCACCTAGAGAAGTACAGCAGCAGATTTGTGCAGATTCAGTAAATCGGCAAGCCTGCTGTGAAAGTTCAAGAGGGAAAACAAAGTCATCTCTGCCTGAATTTGGTATTTCAAGAGTTCTTTCACCTTAAAGACACTAAATGCATTCATTCACAAATTCAAGTTCAGCTGGAATTAGTTTAGCATCCATATTGCTGCTAATAATGAGATTTGCATGTTTATCTGTAGGATGATTATTTCCTTATGAGTTTTGGGGGTTAGGATCATTCCTAGTACAGGGTTATGCTGTCTGAAGTTCCCCTGAATCACGTGATTTACTTCAGAAGGGAGGGCTTGGTCCAACCTGCTGAAGTTAGCCTTGCTTGGGGCAAGGCTTGATTGAGTTGCTCCAGCCTTTGTTGAGTTGTGAGTATCTGGGTGGGTGGAGGTCCCACAGCCTCTCTGAGCACCCATCCTGTGTTTAACCACCAGCACCCAGGTGCTCTGGCTCATTAGGGTTACCAGAGGCACGGCTCAGTGGAGATGAGCTTTGCCTAACACTTGCTGTAATACTTGAGCTCCTGGAAGCCTCTTTTTTTATTTCAGAACTGGCCTATTCAGAACAGGCCTTATGAGGTACATTTCTTTCAGCAATAGTATCTGGTCATTTCCTCCCTGAGTTTTCCTCAAATTAAGGTGGCAGCAGCAGTGAGATAATCACAAATGCTCCAGCTCGCTCTACAGCACATCGTCTGTGTCAGAGGGCTTGCAGCGACAGCAGGAAGGCCAGGCAGGAGGCCCGAGTCTCCAGGAGAACTGGATCCTCTCTGAATCCAGCCCCTCTCAGGAGCTTCTACCACTCTTCTTAGGTTTTATTTTGAAACTAAGAAATTCTAATCAGCTTTCTCAGCAGGGAGGTAGCTTCAGGCATCTCAAAAGGTAGTCTCCAAATTGTCAAGAGAAAACGCATTTCATGAAGTGGTTAAACTCTTAACCTCATTTAGCATTTAAACGATAAAGTTATAGGTTAGGAGAATACAACATACTACTGCTAGAGATTTAACTCTATTTGGTTTTCTAAATGGGTATGTTAGACCATTGTTCATTCGATGTTATGAAAAAAGAATCAAGTCTTCATAAATAGAAACCAACTCCCCACCTCCCCTTCCAAGAGCCAATTAACATAAAGTAAGCTGGACACAGACTGCCATAAGCATTAAGCCATTTATTACTCTGACATTTGAAGTTTAGTATGAGTTTTGACATTCCCTGCTCTTAGTTTTTTAAAGCGTGCTTATGGTACAGCATCACTTAAATGAGCTACTACCAGCTTAAAAACAGTTTTCACAAAGGTGTAAGACTAGAAACAGTCCTAAACAAACAACAAAAACCCAGATAGATCACCTAGATGTCTTCATTCATCAGGCTCTAGACCAAACAAACCTACCACTAGTTTAAATTACATTTATTTTTAGTGTTTGGCTGTTCACCCTTGTCACAGTCAGTTGGGGAAAGAAAAGAGGAAATTTATTTTAGCAAAATGGGAAAAAAAAAAATCTGTTCACTATTACAGACCATTTAGCAGACTGGGTTTCAAATCTCTTAATTCTACTACCTACAGCTAGGGCTTAATGCATTCTTTAAAGCAGAAGGTATTTTGACCATCCTGTTCAGACTGCTGTATTTTATGTGAAAACAGTATTTAAGACTAAGAGAGATGAAGGAATATAAAGGACAGATTTTACATAAGGGCATACTCATCTGAAGACCTCTCTTGGTGTTGCAACTCCACCTGCACCCTCTTCCTGAAGCTGAGCTGTCACAGGCAAATCTGTGTGACCCAGATTCCCCATCCTGCACCGTCACTAGATCTCAGCCTAGTCAGTCATTTCACTTACCGACCTCCACAGGGCACAATGTAGAAACAGATCAGGAGGCAGGGCAGAGAAAAGGAAATCAGACAACACTCTGCTAAGTAAGTATACTCTAACTTACAGCTTAAACACACACCTAATCTTGTACCCCATTCTCTTAATTTATGAAGGATTTTCACTGCACTAACTGTACCAGCTATAATGAAGATATTCTAAATCAGCAGCTTTAAAATTCCATGATAAATCACTGCCCTGAGGGGTGTAAGAACACCCACATTTCTTTCGTGTTTACTATTACATTCAGAAGCTATTTGAAGACAAGTGCAAACAAAACAAAAAAGGTACAAAAAGCAATAGATGTTGCTGCACTAACATGTTCCATTCCCCATGTCTTAAACAATGATTTGTATAAAAATAGAAATGGGTAAATAGAAAAGCACAACTAAAGAAAAGTTACTCCTCTGTCACTACAGAAACCAAGACATATTCAACTCCACTGAAAAGGTTAATCGCCCTGAAAACACATGGGCCTGGCTTAAAATCATCTTTGACTTCAGTTTGTTTCAAATAACCATCATCATTTTTCCCCCACTTTTTTTTTTTTAACTGTGAGATGACCACATGATCCATTGAAGAGCTGAAGTGAATGACAGGACCCACCCACCCGATTTTGTCCTATCTCTATGCTGCAAATTCAAACCATGTGGTACTTCCTTTCCTGCAAAAGTAGTTGTAGAGAAGGTATGTGAACAACTGTTACAGAGAAGGGAAACTCTAAAACAAGTAGGAAATGCCTTGAAAGTCACAAGAACTGTCAAATTGAGGCATAGCATTAGAAAAGCTTTCTAGCAAGTCAAAACCATAAATAGGTGGGGGTTTTTTAATGCCATCAATCATACTGAGAAAAATCATCAAGTGTCACTGTTCAGGCAGAGTGCCTTCATAAATACATTCAGGAGCATGTGTAGTCAAATGTGAATTCAGGAACTTGATGTTTTGCCAGTCTCCAACTTGTTTCTGCATTAATTTCTCCACTAATTTGGTGATCAATCCACAGGTCAATCCATTAAACAATGATTGGAAAAGACAACAGGATATGTACTTCATATGATTTCTTTTATAATATTGTCTACACTAACAAAATAGAATAACTGTAATTCTTTCCAAGATCAGAAAAATATTCCAAGCTGTAGTATTACAGCATATGGCAGTCTGTAAACAAAAGCAGCATCCATTTCACTCATGATCTTGTGCAGCTTCTTCTTCTTTCTGTTCACATGCTGCTTCATCATCTGGTTTCACCGGAGTAGTGGTTAACGAGCTCTCAATACTGTTTAAGAGCAGCTTTGTTTCTTGGTTATTGGGATCAGTTCCTAGTGTTGTTTTTGAAGAAATTTCATTAGGAAGAGCAAAAGAAGGTAAAGATGGAATTGAAGGCAGTAGGTCATCCAACTTGGGCTGCTTGACTGAGCCTTCAGAATACATGGTTACATCTTCAGGGTCCAAAGCTGTGGCGTGTTCTGGGAAATGGAAATTGTAAAAAAACCAAAAGCTGTCAGGCTAACAGACAGTGCCTCTGGTTACCATACGTCTAGAAAAATCAGCTTGGATGAGATACCTCGTACAGGCACATAACCGGATTCACAAGTGTCAAATACATGGGCTATGTTTACTTGGTTCTCCCCACATCCAGAAAATCTGATGGTGCAAGCAGGTTTTTAAGAGGCCACAGACGATTTGGTCTGCTGTATTCTTATGCTAGAAATGTTTTACTTTGTATTACAACTCTTAGTTACCCCACCTTTTAAAAAGCAAAGGCATCCATAATGTGAAGATACTTTTTTTTTTTTAAATAGAAAAGTCACTATTAAGATGACTGCAATTTTGTTTTCACTTTACAACTGTGAAGACAAGCTTGTGGTACAAGAATTCATTTACACTGATTTTAGAAATACCTACTTTTAAGGTCAGTTTAATTGGGATCATCAACATTTTCATTTAAAGACACACATTCTATAATCTTATAAAAAAGCCTATTAGTTTTTGTCCACTTCTACATCTGATTTCTGCCACTTTTTCCATCTCATTTTAGCCAATCCCCTTTCTGATTTTTCTTAAAATTGGCTTATTTCCAAAAGGCATGATAGCATTGAACAGGCATGAGTTGGCACCATCCCAGAAATTAGATCAGAGGCCTAAAGGAAATCTTGAATACACTTACCAAAATAAGCAGAAGTGTCATTGGTCAACATCATTAACTTTTCAGTGCCTGCTAAAGCATCTGCTGCTGGCATGTTGGAGGAGGCAGATGAAGACATGTTGGACACTTCTGTTAAGTGAGTGAGTTCAGGAAATGAAATACCAGACATATCTAGAAATCCTTAAGGAGAAAGCAAATATTACAGTACTGGTTTAGATACAACACAAAATTCTAGATTCAAAAAGACGTTTTATCCAGACTGAAGTGAGTGAAGTCCCCTCCCCGCTAAATGCAAATAAATTTAACCTAAAAGTTAGCTGACATCAGTGGAAAGAGACTTCTGCAGAATATTAACCTCAGTCAGGCTCACAGTACCCAAATTCCACAGTTCTGAAATCCAGTGAAGTCAAAAGCTTTAAGGAAAACAACCACCAATGCTCACAGTTCTGTATTTAAGTCTCAAACTTGTTTAAGACCTTATTAGTTCACTGAGATGTCCTCTAAAGAATTGCTGAAAAAAGCACCGAAGAAAATATACCTGGATCCATAACTCTCTGGAGAGGGGGAGGAGGAGAAAGTGAGCTTTCCGGTGAATAACCACTCACTTCTTGATCTGTGGAATGATCCAAGTTCCTAACTATTTCAGAGTTGTCACTCTGAGAAGTAGGTGCCAATAATGGAGTCTGGAATAACACAGTAAGAAGGAAAAGCATCTTTTTATATTGAAAGCTCCACCTGAAGAAGACCTTCCTATGAAAGCATTCTGCCTCAGTCTCCAAGTATGCCAATTCAGAGAGAACCTATGATGCTGAAACCGATAGGCATGCCACTGCTTAGGACATGTTCCAATGTAGCCTTTTAAAGCCAGTACGTTCTCAGAAGAACTTATATATATACTTAATTCTTGTAGGTGTATTTTATTTCCTAGTGAGAAGGGTATTCTTCTAATGTGGTTCTCATTGACTGATACAGCTGTAGTATGCAAGCCATTAAAACAGGAAGAAAATATCTGCCAAAAATTATCAGCCAACACTGGTGAAAGAGTAATTGTAATATATGTAATTCCACCCAAATACAGTGAGGAATATGGAAGAATGCCAGCTGAAAGTTTGAGAAAATAAAGGGTACACCTCGGCAAACAGAGTTTCTCGCTCATGCTACCCCTCCTGTCATCTGCTCAGCATCATCAGGTCTCACTTTCCCATCACCTAACTCCATTTTGTTCAAGCAAAATTGTATGCTGTACTCAAATATACTGTATTATGAATGTTCCAACAAGTAGAAAATTTTGAAACTCCAGAAAACATAACTGATTTCTTACATACCTCTGTGTAACCATTAGTAGACAGTACAGGAGTTCCAGCTTCTGGTAAGGGTGAAGGTGGTTTGCTTTCTGACTTTTTCTTTGATACTATAGACTGTGTTGGAATTCTGTGCAAATAGCCATATCCAATACCACATCCTAAACTGTACAAGAAAAGTAAAACAAGACTTGAGAAAAAGGTGTTCTTAACAAAGCTAGTAAGTGTTTTAAGTTTTGACTCTTTAAAACAAGAAGAGTTTGAGTCTTTAATCTATAGCAAGAAACACCTACCTGCAAGAATCATTTCACTTACTTAATAGTACTCAAGGAGCACTCTGCAACTGACATTTAGACATACATAGCTTAGCTTTTAGTTGATTATTTTTATATCTTTACAAAATATATAATCTGACCCAATTTGGATTTTGTTCTTGTTTTAACCAAATGTTTGACTCTGAGAACGTAGCTAGTGAATCCGCTACCGGGGAAGTCAATACAGGTTTTGCCATTGGTTTCAACTCAAACAGGATTAGATCCAGAACATGCCTAATTCCTTGTTCTAAGCTTTTTTTTTTTAATGGAAAGATGAACAGTTTTGTGTGACAAGTAAGAAAACAAGGCTTAACTTGAAAACAACAAGCTGTAATCAATAATAATAATAATAATAATACTCTTAACAGGAGCTCATTTACAGTGAGTATATAACCTGTCATCAGCCAGTGACTGTCCGGAGATCAGTACCTTCCTTCTCCACCCCAAGCTCCATTGGGAGTCACAACTACCTCTCGAATGGAATCTGCTTCAGTGTTATAAACCATCAGCTTCAGTGGCTTCCCCTCATGGGATTCAATCAGTGAAAAGAAATCCTCTGACTAAGAAAAAAAAAAATAGTAGTTATTAAACTCAAATGTGTAAGACAAGGAGCTGGAAGCAAGTTAGCATTTTACACAGTTATTTACTTCAACATGAGATATTAAAAACCCAAACACAGACTAAAACTTACTAGTGTGAGCAACTTTTTTTATTGTCAGATTAAAAAAGGTAATGTTTACCTCGAGCTTAAAGCATCTGTCATAAACATCAACTTCCCAAAATCCCAAAACACTATCCCCATACATTTGATGTACACGAAATTAGGTTTATAAAAAAGCCAAACCCTACAACATACACTTGGCAGGCATGAAGACAATCACTACTTGAAGGAGCATGCGCCCTACCTCCTGAAGAATCTGATCAGATCCAACAATGTAGTCAGTGTTCGGCTGGAGACCAGCGAGAGCTGCAGGAGATGCAGGTTCAACATCCTGTGAAAGAATGACATGTGTCATCTGCACTCGCAGCAGGATAAACCATCCCAAGATAAAAAGGAAATCTACCTCCAAAAGCAACAGAAGGAAAGAACATTTTATTTATGGGACAAAATAGAAGCCCTTGAACAGTCTACATCTAGGTGTGACATCTCGTAAAACATGCTGAACAAGAAGGACCAAGATACTACCAGTTCAAAATGAGATACTCTGAAGATGTTGAAAAGTTGCATTTACTTAACCAGAAACAACAGTCTTTCCTATTCTGTTCTACTCTTTCAGCTCTCCCTCTTAATTTTTAAATAATTTTTTGGTGCTTTTTGTAACATTAATATTACTTTGATGACGTTCAGCCAACACAGAGGCACCTATCGAGCCAGAATCTTTTTTGCTTTTGCCATTGATTCTTTAACTTAAGACAGAAAAACCTTCTCCCCATCACAAACTATTTGGTCTGGTTGGATGGAGTTATTTTTCTTCACAGCGACAGGCAACACTAACAGTCACCCACTACTTGTCCATATTCAAATAGCTCAGACAAACTTTCAAGACTGCGTTCCCTTCTTCTGTATGATTTCAGCACTGTACTTCTACAGACAAGTTACTTCTAAATGTTACACTTTAAAACAAGGTTGTATGAACACTAACGAGCCACCGAAGAATTCTGTCTCACCAAAACGTGCCATACGTGTTCACTGGCTCCCTGGAAACTGCAGAACCTCACACTGGCTCCAAGAAGACCTTGTCCTCCCCACATGTTACTGGGGATCACCTCCACCTCTCTTATTTTCATTGTTTTGATATTATACACCTCCAGCTTCACTGCTTTTTCAGCATTTGCCTTCAGCAGATCTTTCAACATATTGTTTTCTTTATTCTGTAGAGCACAGAAAGAGATATATGATTAACATTATTTCTAGTTGCACCTGTACTATAGATGTCATGTCTGTGGCAGAATTTGAAAACAAAGAACCAAAACTGTCAAAGTTTAGGCTCTGTGTCTCACAATCGGTCCCAGCAGTTCAATTTTCTTTTATTAGAAAGTAGTCAGTACTGTCAGTTCATGTCCCTTTACATAAATACTTACTATTATTCAGTTTCATCACTTACTTTCCCATTCTTCATAACTGCTATTAAATAACAATAGCAATCTTAGATCTTTACTACGTAGTCGTAACAACAAGCAGCAACATTTTGCTTCGTGCCTCTGATCCCAGTCCTTACACAATAACCCTTCAAAGTCATTGCAAATTGACTGTGAAAGGACAGACTATTTGCCAGTAGCTTAGAGAACTATCATTATTTCTGTCACGTTAAAAGATTGATCTTCCACCAAAATCCACCATTATAACAATCATTTCCAGAAAGACACCCCCACTAATGAGAGCAAGACAAACTTACTGAATTCAGCTTGTATGTAGCTAGGATGAAGCATACGGCCAAAGCCGTGAGCCTTTTAAACCAAAAAACCACCAAACCAAAACTCAACTCTTTTTTCATAACTCACCATACAGGAACTGTGTTACCAGGCTTAAGTATAAGCAGACAGGCCATGATTCTTTTTCATGTTTTATCAAATGTTGAAACAAGTTTGTTTAAACAAATGTTGAGCTCTTACCATTGACTCACCAGTTCAATATTCACCTTGTGGCAGAAAATATGCATGAATGAGTAATATAATAAACATTGTGTTAATCTGTTAAGAAGTTAAGGCCACTAAAGGCATAAATAAGACTTTCTTCAAATTTGGATCCAGACAGAGAGGAGATTTTGAACACCACCAAGTTTTCCTTTACCTTGTTAATGCCATATACAATGTCCAATATGAAAATCTTTCTTTACTGTGACAGCTTTGGCTTCTACCTTTCATCATTACAATACCCGTAATTCGTGCAGGGGAAAAAAATAAAATCATTTGAGGCTTACAAGCCTAGTGTGTCCTATCGCAATGATGAAATCAAAGAAAGGTTCCAGTCCTCCTTGTTGAGCTGGGGAGTTTTCTTGAACCTGCAAAACATACATTTTATTTTTATTATACATTGATCTCTAGTTACAGTAAGAGGGACAGCGTTAATCTTTACACTTGATTCAATATTTACTTTTGAGTTGAACCAGAGATGAGATACCAAATGACAGACCTTGGAAGCAGTCCACAATTGTGAACTTACGTTTATAGAACTATGAACAACTGGTGTCCTAATTAAGCTGTGAAAAACAGGTTTTGAACTCCACACAAGACACAAGTATTGTGATGCAAAGTACATAGCATGGCATTATTAAATACTGAGGGCTTCAGAGAAGGGCTTATTTTTCAAAGTGCTGCTTCAGGATTTTCTTCCATGCTATTAATAGCCTGAGCACACTGGGAGTCCCCAATTTCATCACAGCCATTTTTTACATAAACACAATTTACAGCATATTAGAATGGGAACACTTAAGAGACTATGCTACAAATGCACGGCTAATGACAAGTACTGGTCAAGAAGATTGCCATCACTTACAAGAGATTCATAAGAAATGAGAGTTACACCTCAATTTCATTATAACCAAGTTATTGTAAAACAGATGTAATAAAGAAATATAAAGAACACCTATTAAAGTGCATTCACACCAGGATGCAACCCACCAAAAATTACACAGAACTTGATATATGCCGAGCATATGAGAGTATACCCACTTCAAAGTATACTAACAAAGCAACACGATAGGGAACCATTGCAAACATGCTAACAGTTCACGCTGCTTGTAACTTTACTTTTGTGAACTCAGCAGTACAGCCCTTAACCTGCAACGTATTTGACTCCTGAAAGCCACCCCACAATTTAAGTGCCAAGTTACAACCCATGCATCATCTAAACTAAGAAGTTCATTGCTAGCAAAGTTAAAACTGCTACATTTTATATTTGTATTTTGCTACGAAACTGACTTTTTTGTTTTTTTTTCAAATAAGTTGTAACAGTATTGGGGCTTTTGCTGGCATAACTGTCTATGCAAGTTATAAAATATACATAAGTAATAGCACAGTTACTTCAGCAAAAGCTTTTAAAGCAAAAAAAAAAAATCATCCTTTATTATTAAACAGTCAAGACTGACCACTGTAACCACAACTGGAGTAGGAAGTATTAACTTTCATCACAACCCTAAATTGCATCAAAAGCAAACAGCTAGCTTATACTGAACCAAGCTGAAGGTTAAAAAGAGTCTACCCTACATCCCAATTCTAGATAATGCGCAAGAAGCATTACAATGAAACTATGATGTAACACAATGTCAAGGACGAAAAGGTACACAAAAAAAATTACGTGGAAGTTATTATGGAGCTCATGACATCGTTCATTGTTCAGATGTCTAAAAGCCATACAGATTCCCACACGAAGCTGGAAGTTGTAAAAAATCCTGCAGTATTTGGTTTTCAAAATGACACCGTATCAAAAGCGGTATGAATTGCCTGGAAAAAACTTTGTCTCCTGCATATTGTAGATCACCGAAATCATCCTCCAGTACAGAAAACTGAGCAGTATCCTGCACTTAACATAAAAGGAGGAGGCATTCCGTGACCAACAGTCATTTCTGATGGAGTTAGAACTCAGTTAAGGAGACTGAAAAAAGCAGATTACGTAACAACACTGGTACCCCAAACACATCTTGTGATATTGAGAAACACAAACTGCCGATGAGGTGGAAAGCAGCATGGGGCAACAACGTTTCTTATTTCAGGGAGGAAGACCACCAACTAAATGAAATGATAACTTACGCAACAACTGCTATCAGCAATACCTCTGCCTATATTTAAGCTCCAAGATATGCATTTAAACCAATGTGCATGCAGACAATTTGCCAGCTAGAGGAGTTACAACAAATTTGCATCTACACACAGCGCCTGTGAGAAGCAGTCCCTCAGGAAAACACTGGCTGGAGCAGGAATTAACCCCCAGCCAAGATGCTGTAAAGATCCGCAGAGAAATTAGTCAAACCTTCAAGTCAAGGGAATTTGGAGGGGAGCGGGAGG